TGGACTAGAAGACCTCCAAGGTCCCTTCCAGCTCTATTCAGATTGATTGGTTGAAATGGTCTAGGATCTCCTATTTGAGCAGGGGGTTGGACTAGAAGATCTCCAAGGTCCCTTCCAGCTCTATTCAGATTGATTGATTGAAATGGTCTAGGATCTCCTACTTGAGCAGGGGGTTGGACTAGAAGACCTCCAAGGTCCCTTCCAGCTCTATGCAGATTGATTGGTTGAAATGGTCTAGGATCTCCTACTTGAGCAGGGGGCTGGACTAGAAGACCTCCAAGATCCCTTCCAGCTCTATTCGGATTGGTTGATTGATTGATTGATTGATTGAAATGGTCTAGGATCTCCTACTTGAGCAGGGGGCTGGACTAGAAGACCATCCAAGGTCCCTTCCAGCTCTATTCTGATTATAACCAAAGCTCTTCTATGAGAGAGATGGGACATCTCCAGCTCCAGACCCGGGCCGGGGCAGGGGGCGGTAATTCCTCCCCTCCCTCCTCCGATGTCCCTGCCTTGGCTCAGCTCTTCCCTTCTGCCCAGTCCTCCATCCAACCTCAGTTGCAAACACACAAGCCAAGGAGAGGGCCACCGCAGTGTAACCGGCGCCTGTGGTTCGGTAGCTCCTTCCGCCAAGGACGGGACACCATCAGCAATTCCCAGACCGCGTTTAACTCCTTTCCCATCTCTCTCTCTCTTTCTCTCCCCCGACAGACATCAACGAGTGTGCCGATCCGGTGAACTGCATCAACGGGCTTTGTGTCAACACGCCGGGCAGCTACCTCTGCAACTGTCCTCAGGACTTTGAGCTGAACCCTACCGGGGTGGGGTGTGTCGGTAAGAAGGCTCCATCCTCACAGGGTCTCCGTGGGAGGGGGTTGTTTCCCGGGTGTGGTGGTTTCCCGATACTATTTATTTATTAAATTTATCTGCCACCCGTCGCTTATCGCGCTGAAAAGCAACCCTGGGCAGCTTCCTATTAAAATCATAAATATTAACAACGTTAAAGAGCCGTGGAGTGGCGCTGTGGTTAGAACGCGGCACTGCAGGCTAATTCTGCCCACTGTCAGCAGTTCAATCCTCTAACCGGCTCAAGGTTGACTCAGCCTTCCGTCCTTCCGAGGTCGGTAAAAGGAGGACTCAGATTGTTGGGGGCAAATAGGCTGACTTTGTAAACCGCTCAGAGAGGGCTGTCAACCACTGTGAAGCGGTATATAAGTGCTAATTGCTAAATACAGAAATTTTTAAAAAGCGAAAAATAAGAACACATCCAGCTTTTTTTTTTTTCCTGGATGTCGGCTCCAGGACCGCTTCGGATGTCTTCTAAAATGGGCCTCACTAAAGGAAGACCAAACTGGTCCTGCTTGGCCTAGTTAGTCCAACGCCTTGAACTACAAACTCCATAGTCCCCAGCCCCACATTGAAAAGCCCGAGTAGAAACCCTTGTCAAATAGAGGTCCTCATTTCGACGCGATTCGGTTCTTCCTCTCGTTTCTCCAAGCCGTAGTCAAGATTTGCAAGCCTCATTGATCATTTTTAAATTATTGTTATTTGTTGGTTTATCATATGGTTTATTATAATTATAATTACAATTCTTTCTATTCCTGGAGCAGAAAGGTCATCCTAGCCCACTGCTTCTCCACCTTGGCCACTTTAAGATCCGTGGACCTCAATTCCCAAAATTCTGTCTGGCTGTGGAATTCTGGGAGTTGCAGTCCACCAAACTTAAACAGGTTGGCTGTGGAATTCTGGGAGTTGAAGTCCACCATCTTGAAGTGGCTAAGGTTGAGAAACACTGGGCTAGCCGACGACATGATGGCTGCTGCATTGGGGGAATGAAAAAAAAGAACACATCCCCTTGGAAAGGCAGAATTTGTCGACAGGTGTTGGATACACAACTGACTCTCGGATGCATCTTGTACCTAAAGACCCCCACCCAACTAGAGATGGGAAGGTCTGGGAAAAAAATGGAAAAATTGGGGGGGGGAACAGAGTTTTTTTTTTCTGGTTTCCCCCCCTTTTTTTTTCCAAAGACGTTTGGAAAAAAAAAACTGGTTTTTTCCCCAGTTTTTTTCCCAGGCCTTCCTATCTCTACGGCCCCGATGCCGTCGTGCTCTTCCCGATGCAGTTCTTTTTTCCCCCTTCATTCTCCTTCTGTCTCCCTCCCTCTCTCTTTCCTACCCAGACACCCGAGTGGGGAACTGTTTCCTGGACACGCAAGACCGCGGTGACGGCGGCATCTCCTGCAGTGCGGAAATCGGCGTGGGGGTCACCCGGGCCTCCTGCTGCTGCTCCCTGGGCCGGGCCTGGGGCAACCCTTGCGAACTCTGCCCAGCTGCCAACACCAGTGAGTAGGGCAGCCGTGCCCACCGGGCTGCATCGTTTGACTGGCATCTGCCAGAATTTGGTTTGGGACGTGGATTAATTAACGAGTGGAGCAGCTTGCCCTCCGAAGTTGTAGGTGCTTCATCACTGGTAGAGACTGGACAGCCTCTGGTCTGGAATGGGATGAGCAGTGGGTTGGACTAGAAGACCTCCCGGGGTCCCTCCCAGCTCTATTCTGATGGATGGATTGATTTCCTGTGGGTGGGTGGCACAATAGAAGTGACACTTTAAAACAAAATCGTAACAAGCTTGTCAGAGACATAATCTGTCAGTGTTGCTTCTGTCCTGGTCAGACCATGCCCTGGTGTCCTTGAATAAGACAATAGCAGAGTTGGAAGGGACCTTGGAGATCTTCTAGTCCCACCTCCCAGTGCTCAAGCAGGAGACCCTTACAGAATCATAGAAGAACAAGAGTTGGAAGGGACCTTGGAGGGGGGGGGTCAACTTATTCTCCAAAGCACCAGAGGGCAGGACAAGAAACAACGGTTGGAAACTGAACAAAGAGAGAAGCAACCTGGAATTAAGGAGAAACTTCCTGACAGTGAGGACAATTAACCAGTGGAACTCCTTGCCTCCAGAAATTGTGGGCGATCCATCACTGGAGGTTTTTAAGAAGAGGCTGGACAGTCACTTGTCTGAGATGGTATAGGTTCTCCTACTCGAGCGGGGGGCTGGACTATTCTATTCTATTCTATTCTATTCTATTCTATTCTATTCTATTCTATTCTATTCTATTCTATTCTATTCCATAATTCTATTCTATTCTATTCTATTCCATAATTCTATTCTATTCTATTCCATAATTCTATTCTATTCTATTCCATAATTCTATTCTATTCTATTCTATTCTATTCTATTCTATTCTATTCTATTCTATTCTATTCTATTCTATTCTATTCTATTCTATTCTATTCTTGGAAAGCTGTTTTAAAACATAGTATTTTTCAACCTTGGCCACTTTAAGATCGGAGGACTTCAACTCCCAGAATTCCCCAGCCAGCCATGCTGGCTGGGGAATTCTTGGAGTTGAAGTCCTCCCGTCTTGAAGTGGCCAAGGTTGAAATAAAGACGCCTAAAACTTCTAAACTCTGTCTAGAATTCACTTCTCACCCTACAGCCGAATACAAGACCCTCTGTCCGGGCGGCGAAGGCTTCCGGCCCAATCCCATCACGGTCATTTTGGAAGGTAGGTCAGTGGGTCACTTGAGCGGGAGGGGGAGGGCTGAAAAACGATCTCTTGGGCCTGCCTGAACTTAGAGTCCCTCTGAAATTCAGCGCTGGAGAGTGTCTTTGGACGCCCAAACCCTTGCATATTAAAAAAAAAAAAATCCATCCCGTTACTGATTACAGCCCTGGGAAAATTCCCTGGCTTTAAAAAGAACATTCCAAGGGCATCATTTTTATTGGGGTGATGAACTTGTGGGCAGAGGCATCAGATCTGAGCTAAACAGAGGCCAAAAAAAAAAAAAAAGCAGCAGTTTTGGCTGCAGAATAAAGCAAAATATTGGATTGGATTGATTCAGGCTGATCCTTTAATCAGGAGTTTGGCAGATGCTGCAATTCATTTGTAATTCTGGTGCTGGTCCTTCCAGCTGTTCTCCAGAAAAGCTTAACATTTTGCCTGGAAGGTTTTAGAGAATGAGAATCAGTGAGCGAGCCGTGGAGATCATCTCCAGTGAAGGCGAACATGCTTTAGGTGCTGGACTAGGAACCAAGGAGACAGTGAGTTCTAGTCCTGCCTTAGGGATGAAAGCTGGCTGGGTGACTTGGGGTCAATCACCGGGAGACGGGGAGTTCTAGTCCTGACTTAGACACAGAAGCCGGCTAGGTGACTTTAGGCCAATCACCCGGAGATAGTGAGTTCTAGTCCTGCCTTAGGCATGAAAGCTGGATGGGTGACTTTAGACCAATCACTAGGAGATGGTGAGTTCTAGTCCTGCCTTAGGCACAAATGCCTGGTGAGTGACTTTGGACCAATCAGCAGGCTACAGTGAATTCTAGTCCCACCTTAAACATAAAAGCTGGCTGGGTGACTTTGGACCAATCACCAGGAGACGGTGAATTCTAGTTCTGCTTTAGGCAGGAAATCTGTCTGGGTGATTTGGGTCCAATCCCTCTCTCGGCCCAACCCACACTGCAGGGTCGTTGTTCCCCCCCCCCCGTTTGCAGGGGGGAAAAGAGGAGAAAGGAGCATTATGTATGTTCACTACCTTGAGATAGTTACAAACAATAACAAAGGCAGGGTACACTTCAAATAAATAATAACAAGAACAACAACAACAATAATAATATAACAGTAACAATAAAATACATTCATGTCACATATCCTCCTGTTGGACTTGATCTGTAAAAAAAAACCCCATCTAAACATCTAGCTGTCTTTGCGGTGAGCCATAAATACATAATTCTACGTTTGTGTCTTTGCACGACTTTTTCCTAGGCCAGGGGTAGGCAACCTTGGTTCTTTTATGACTCGTGGACTTCAACTCCCAGAATTCCTGAGCCAGCCAAGCTGGCTCAGGAATTCTGGGAGTTGAAGTCCACGAGTCATAAAAGAGCCAAGGTTGCCTACCCCTGGCCTAGGCCATCCCACTGGTGGCTTTGGGGAAGAGAGAGAGAATGAGAGAGAAAGAGGGAGGGAGAGAGAGAGAGAGAGACCCATCCTCCACTCCCCCCAAAAAGTGCCACGGATCCTTGATCTTCCTCTTCCTCCTCTCTCACAGACATAGACGAATGCCAGGAACTGCCCGGCCTGTGCCAGGGGGGCAATTGCATCAATACCTTTGGGAGCTTCCAGTGCGAGTGCCCCCCGGGCTATTATCTGAACGAGGACACCCGTATTTGTGAAGGTGGGTCTACGGGGGGGGGTGGCAGGCAGGTGGGCGAGCTTTGGGGAAGGGGGTGGTGTGCCCTGGCACCCTTGGGCCAACTCAAGGTGTGGCATGGAAGGAGAATCAAAAGGGGGACTGTTTTTTGTGGCTTCGCGTCTCCGTTAGCAGGCTCAAGGTACTTTTGGGGATCTAGAAGGCAGATCCATTCGTGGGCGTCCCCCGGGTGTGGTCAAAAAAGTCAAGATGGCCGCCTTGCAGTCCGCAGACTCTCCCAATTCCTTCACTTAGAGTAGGGTCTGCCAACCTGGTCACTTTAAGATGGGTGGACTTCAACTCCCAGAGTTCCCCAGCCAGCACGTTCAGCTGAGGCATTCTGGGAGTTGAAGTCCACCCATCAGCTCCAGCTCCTGCCCACCCTTCTGAAACCAGCCCCTTAAGTGTCTTAGCTTGATTTGTTTTTTTCTGCATTCGTAAAATGCTGGCTGGGGGATTCTGGGAGTTGAGGTCCACAGGCTTTAAAGTGTCTTAGCTTTCTTAGTGTCTTTGGGAGCTTCTAAAATGATTGGCAGGGTTGGTTAGCCCTGCGAGGTAGGCCAGCCAGGAAGCACAGCCTGGATCTCTGAGCTCTATCTTTATTGTAACCTTATATTAACAGACTCTTTCTCTCCCTCCACCCCTTTTACTTTCTGGAAAACTAGGGGGCGGGTCTCTTTTGAGTCACTTCCTACACCCTCCTTTCCATCTGCACCCTGTTGTAGCTTTTATGTCTGGGGGGGGTGTCTCCCTCCCGCCTCCTGAGGTCATTCCCCCAGTAGGGATGCATCCCCTCGACAGATCTGAAACACTCATCCTGGGACTGCTGACCGACTGACCTGGCTCTGGCCCCTGTTCCCACAACCTTTGTTTTCCCCTCCAGACATCGACGAGTGCTCTGCTCACATCGGCATCTGCGGGCCGGGGACCTGTTACAACACACTCGGCAACTACACCTGCGTTTGTCCCCCGGAGTACATGCAAGTCAACGGAGGGAACAACTGTATGGGTACGAAGGGCCCTGCAGGGTGGGCTCAAAGGGAGGAGAGGGGCCAATGGGGTGAGGGAGCAACCAGCCCCCGTCTCCTCGGATGGCTTGACGCCCTTCCAGGTAACTCAGCTGAAAACGTAGGATGAGGGTCCCATAGCCTCATCTAGCTGCCAAGAGATAGACTGCCCTTAGCTCTGGAGGTTCCACGTCAAACAGAGAGAAGAGGAGAATTCTGTGGTTTGGGTGTGGGTTGTTTTTTTTTTTTTTTCCAAAACAGACTTTTTAAATAAGATCTCAAAGGGATCAGGATCCATCTAGCCATCTTCTGGCCTCCAGTGGTGGTCAGCAGCTTCAGCAGGACCCCAAGTTGGACACGAAGGCAATCACACCTCAGAGGCTGATTTCCACGTCCTCATCCCATAATTCAAATCCAGAGTTTAGATAGATATGTAGAGAGAGAGAGAAAAAAGGGAGGGAGGGAGGGAGGGAGGGAGGGAGGGATGGACGGACAGACAGACAGACAGACACAGACAGACAGACAGACAGACAGACAGATAGAGTGATATAGAGATTAGGGGGAAAGATGGATGGATGGATGGATAGAGAAAAATAGAGAGAGATAGACAGACAGAGATGATAGATAGATAGATAGATAGATAGATAGATAGATAGATAGATAGATAGATAGATAGATAGATAGATAGATAGATAGATAGATAGATAGATAGTGATAGAGTGATATAGAGATTAGGGGGAAAGATGGATGGATGGATAGAATGGGATAGAGAGAGAGATGAGAGACGGAAAGATGGATGAGTGGATAGAGAAAAATAGAGAGGGATAGACGGACAGAGATGATAGATAGATAGATAGATAGATAGATAGATAGATAGATAGATAGATAGATAGATAGATAGATAGATAGATAGATAGATAGATAGATAGATAGATAGATAGATAGATAGATAGATAGATTGATAGATAGATAGATAGATAGATAGATAGATAGATAGATAGATAGATAGATAGATAGATAGATAGATAGTGATAGAGTGATATAGAGATTAGGGGGAAAGATGGATGGATGGATAGAATGGGATAGAGAGAGAGATGAGAGATGGAAAGATGGATGAGTGGATAGAGAAAAATAGAGAGGGATAGATGGACAGAGATGATAGATAGATAGATAGATAGATAGATAGATAGATAGATAGATAGATAGATAGATAGATAGATAGATAGATAGATAGATAGATAGACAGATAGATAAAAAGAGAGAGGGAGAGAGAGATGATAGGCAGGCAGGCAGACATACGGTAGATACAGGCAGAGAGAACAGAGAGATAGGAACAGAGAGAGGGATAAGCAGGACTTAGTGGAGGCACTTCTTAAAACATCTCAGCCCCTTCCCAAACAGACCGGACTCTCCCAAACGGAGGTGGATCAGGGGCATCTCTCCGCCACGCCCACCCTTTGGGGGGGGGCCCGTCCCGTGGCTGGGGGCCTCTGGGCCAGCTGAGGTTCCCTGACTCCCTTCCTTTCAGACATGCGGAAGAGCCTTTGCTACCGCAACTACAATGACACCTGCGAGGACGAGCTTTCCTTCAACATGACCAAGAAGATGTGTTGCTGCTCCTACAACATCGGCAAAGCCTGGAACAAGCCCTGCGAGCCCTGCCCCACGCCGGCCAGCAGTGAGTGGCCCCTCCGCCCCATCGCCCCTGCGGTCCTTGAGCCAGACGACGCCGTGGCCGTTAACTGAACCCACAGTCGTTAAGCAAAACAGCGGGTTCGCTATCTGAACCCTCTGTTCACTAAGAGGAGTTTTGGCAAAAAAAAAAAACCCATCATAAATCACGGTCAAGTGACTGTGGGGCTCTCTGCAAATGGCCACGAAGGCAGGACAGTTGCCGAGCACCCGGAATGTGGTCACGTGGCCAGGGGGGTGGTGGCCGTCAGAGCTTTGGAACGGGGCTGTAAGTGTCTTTTGGTCAACATAATTTCAATGGTCACTTGTTGAAAGCTGAGGAGTCCCTGTAGTTTTTCAAGCAGAGAGCTGGGATGTGGCCTGTGCTAAACCCGAGTTCTGGGGTCCCTGTTGCCCTCTGAGCTGGGTAGTTTTCTGGCAGACGTTTCTTTACCAAACTAGGGAACATCATCAGTCCTACTAGAAAGTGCAATTTACAGGGAGGAGGAGGAGGAGGAGGAGGAGGAGGAGGAGGAGGAGGAGGATTGGGACTGTGGGGTCCCTGGTGCCCTCTGAGCTTGGTAGTTTTCTTGCAGATGTTTTTTTACCAAACTAGGGAACATCATCAGTCCTACTAGGGCAGTGATGGCGAACCTTTTAGAGACCGAGTGCCCAAACTGCAACCCAACACCCAGTTATGCATCGTTGGGTGCCGGGTGGGTTTGGCCCATTGGCTGGGTGTGGCCAATTGGGTGGGTGTGGCCCATTGGGTGGGCATGGCTGCGGTGGTAACAGCAGACTGGGTGGGACTAAAAAGTTCAATCAATCAATTCCAACTTTGCAAGTTTTTTTTCCCCAAGAACTTGAAATTGACTGATTGAACCTTTTTTTTTTTTGCACATGGCGGCGGAGGCCTCAAGCGAAAAGGTTTTATAAAACCCAGCTGAAGGCCCAGGACTGGGGCGATGGTGTGCGTGCCCACAGAGAGGGCTATGAGTGCCTCCTCTGGCACCCGTACCATAGGTTCGCCACCACTGTACTAGAGAGTGCAATTTGCAGAGAGGAGGAGGAGGAGGAGGAGGAGGAGGAGGAGGAGGAGGAGGACCAGGAGGAGGAGGAGGAGGAGGGCGACGACTTTGGGCCCTTAGTGCTCTCTGAGCTTGGTAGTTTTCCTGCAGTCTAGGTAACATTATCAGTGCTAGAAGGGAGTGAGTTTTGCTCTCTGTTTATATTCCAGTAGCTTTACCCGGTCATTGTTGGTGGGAGCGGTCTTGGACTGTCCTTGGTTAGCCTGTTTACTGTTAGCTTGTTTAGGCAATCCTTGATTGGGGTATTGCCTGCTTCTGGACTATCAGTCTAATATTAACCCTAGTGTTAATCCCTACCTACCGTATCTGCGCGTTGATTGCTGGCAAGGAGGCGTTTTGGTCTTTTTGTTCCCTTCTGGGCTTTCTCTTTTGAATGCTGTGTAGATGTTGTTTATCTCTGCGTGCCTGTCGATGGCCGATTTGATGATGGCTGATGCTTGTCGGCAAGAAAACCAGCCAGCTCAGGGAGCACCAAGGACCCCACAGTTCAACCCTGAGCTACAGATATTCTCTTCTACCTACACCTGAGTTGCTCAATGTCTGAGGTCTTGCAAGGAGATGCCTTCATAGCAACATGACCGAGTCTTTCTTTTCTAGCTGAATACCAGATCCTGTGCGGCAACCAGGCGCCCGGCTTCATCATTGACATCCACACAGGGAAACCAATTGGTGAGCATCCCCCAAACTTTGTGTGACCCACAACTAACACCTTTGCATGGAGGGCGATGTTTTGTGTCGATGCTTCAATCCAACCAAAATACTATGGTTAAAACAATTATAAACTAAGAAGAGTTTATAAGAAAAATGAAACCTAGTTTGTACTTTTAGCTTTCTCCCCCCCCCCCGATTTTCTTTTTTGAGACGAATGATTGATGTGTTAAAAAAGGACTATTTAAAAAAGAAAGTGAAAACAATCCTAAAAGCAATAGAAATAAGAACACAAGTCACAAAGCAATCGGAAGTATTAAGATATTTAAATTTAGTAGCTGGAGCAGTGGGATGTGTACAGTGAGCCGGAACACACCGTTACGGTTGATTGGTTGGAGAGTGAGGCAATCTGCGCTATGATTGGTTACTGTGGATTGGAAGGGGGAGGGGGAGTTTCCCTGTTTTCCCGCCTTTTTCTTCTGTGTGCCCTGTGTGTTCTCTGTGATTTTTACCTCACGATTTACCTCATGATAATGGATGTGCCTGACCATCTTATTTACTGTATTTTATTTACTGTAAATATAGATGTAAAATATATTTATTTATATAAAGCTACAAATTCGTGTCAGCGTCTCTGACTCCATTTGGACATCAGCTGTGCAATTCCCTGACAAGAAAGCAATAAAAAACAACAAATAAATCGCCAGGAATGTTTGACTCCCACACTATTCTCTGCAAAATTCAATTGATCTGATGGTTCCCACAGTTAAATGGGTGTATATGTGTGTGTGTGTGTGTTTTGCTCGTGTTCAGCTTTAAGTCACACCCGTCCCCACCCCTTGAAAAGGAGGCTGGGGGTGGTGGTTCTGTCCAATTGGCCCCACCTTCTTCTGCCCCCTCCCTCTCTCCGAGCAGATATCGACGAATGCAGTGAGATTCCAGCCATTTGCACCAATGGCGTCTGCATCAACCAGATTGGCAGTTTCCGTTGCGAGTGTCCCATTGGCTTCAGCTACAACAACATCTTGCTGATCTGTGAAGGTCAGAATCGGGGCTGGCATTTAAGGGGGGGGCTCCTTAATCGGGGCCTTTGCACCTCCAAAGGGAAATATAACAAGCAGGATAAAACTGGTGAACGGATTGAGGTGATACAGGAAGAAGGAAAAACTGGGCAGACACAGCTGCACCTGCCATGAATATCATTTAATTTCTTTCTAAATACAGTCCTCACTTAACGACAGTCATTGGGACCGACATCTCAATTGTTAAGTGGTACGGTTGAAAACAACAATGTCTTGCGATTGCTTCAACTTGACGACAGCAATTGCCTCCGTTCGAGTTGAGGTCGTTAAGGGACTTCGGTGCAGTCTTTATGCACAGGGAGATCACCATTTGTGATTTCCCGCTGGCTTCCCCATTGACTTGCTTGGCGAGTCACTGCTGGTGATCACGTGACCGAGGGACGTTTGCTGGCTGCAGCTAGAGATAGTCCTTGACTTACAGCCAGAGTTGAACCCAGGATTTCTGTTGCTAAGTGAGACGGTTGTTAAGTGAGTTGTGCCTGATTTTACAACCTTTCTTGCCACAGTTGTTAAGCGAATCACTGCAGTTGTTAAGTTAGTAACGCGGTCGTGAAGTGAATTTGGCTTCCCCATTGACTTTGCTTGCCAGTGACCCTGGGACACTGCAACCGTCATAAATATGAGTCAGTTGCCAAAAGTCTGAATTTTGATCGTGTCACCAGGCGGATGCCACAGCGGTTGTGTGAAAAGCAGCCATGTCACTTTTTTCAGTGCTGTCGTAACTTTGAACGGTCACTAAATAAACTGCTGTAAGTCAGGGACCACCTATATTGTAGGTCTCCTCATTTAGTGCCATCATAACTCCGAACGGTTACAAAATGATTGGTTGCTAAATAAGGACTACCTGTGGATTTCATGGATCCAGTTTTCAGGATAGGGGTGTCAATCAAAGCCCCCTCCCCCTTCTCCCCCTGCCCCCTGGTTCCCCTCCCTCCTTCAACATGGACGATGGGCAAAAGAGAAGACGTGACGTCTTGTCCCCATTGTGGTATGGAGAAGACACAATGGAAAAGATGCGGTTTTCAATAGATAGTCCTCGACTTACGAGCACAATGGAGCCCAAAATTTATGTCGCTAAGCGAGTTTTGCCCCATTTTACAATTTTTTTCCTTGCCCCATTTGTTAAGTGAATCACCGCGGTTGTTAAATTAGTAACACAGTTGTTAAACGAATCTGACTTTCCCATGGACTTTGCTTGGCTGAAGGTCGCAAAAGGGGATCACGTAACCCCGGGACACTGCGACCGTCATAAATGTGAGTCACATGTCAAGCATCCAAATTTTGATGACATGGCCACGGGGATGCCGTAACAGTCGTTAAGTGTGAAAAATGGTCATAAGTCACTTTTTTTCAGTGCCGTTGTAACTTTGAACAGGCACTTGGAATGCCGAGGATTATCTGTGTAGCAGAGTGACAGAGAAGAAGCGGACATGAGGGGACAGGTGTCCAAACCAAAATGGGTGGGACATTTTCCCTTTTTTCTCCCACTGACTTTTTTCCCTCTCTTCTTCCCTCTCCCGGCAGACATTGACGAATGCAGCGGAGGGGAAAACCTCTGCCAACGAAACGCCGATTGCTTAAATATCCCCGGCAGTTACCGGTGCGAATGCTCTTCGGGATACAAGTTGTCGCCGAGCGGAGCGTGCGTAGGTGAGACCCGTTCAAACCCTAAGCTTAAGATGGCAAAGGGGAAGCAAACGATTTTGACCGTTTTGGTAACGATAGTCCTTGACCTACGACCAGAATTAGGACCAGAACTTCCATTGGGGTTGTTAAGTGTGTCGCACCCAGTTTTACAACCTTTATCACCAGAGAATCAGTGCTGCTGTGACTTGAATCACATAGTCTTTAAAGCAGGGGTAGGCAACCTTGGCTCCTTTATGACTTGTGGACTTCAACTCCCAGAATTCCTGAGCCAGCATGGCTCAGCTTGGAAACCTCTCCCTTTCCCCTCAGCATGGCTGGCTCAGGAATTCTGGGAGTTGAAGTCCACGAGTCATAAAAGAGCCAAGGTTGCCTACCCCTGCTTTAAAGGAACCCTAGTTCCCCCATTGACGCTGCTTGTCGGAAGCCGGATGCCAAGGGCCCAAATTTTGATCGCATGAGCGTGGGGATGCCGAAACGGTCATAAACACGAGGACTGGACAGGACTTGCTTTTTCAGGACTGTTCTAACTTCAAACAGTTGCTAAGCAAACAGTTGTAAGTTGACCACTACCTATGTTCTGTGTTCCTCAACTTTGGCCACTTGTGTGGACTTCAACTCCCAGAATTCCCCATCCAGCATTTAGATGTATGGACTTCAAATCCCAGAACTCCCCAGAATTCTGGGAGTCAAAGTCCACACATCTTCAAGTAACCAAGGTTGAGAAAAACTGGTTCATTTGCACACTGGGAAGAAGAAAATGTGGGTCACACTTTCTAAGAGTTGGAGCATCGCACTGTGGTTTGGTCTAAGGTCGTGGTGGCAAACCTATGGCACACGTGCTGGTGGCAGCACGCAGAGCTCCCTCTGTGGGCACGTGCGCCATTGCCCCAGCCCCGCCTCCCCCCATGGCCCCTTCCTTACCAGCAGACCCCCGGAGGAGAGTCGCCCCGGGGCGTGGCCGCATGGAGCAGTGCAGCCAAGGACATGGCAGCAGGGCAGCAGGGACAAGACTCCGCCCTCGCACCCCGTCATATGCAGACGATGCCGTGGGGTGCAGGCGGAGGGCGTAGCTGCCACAGCACTGCGGGCTGCCTGGGTGATCTGCTGTGGCGGACCGTGGAGGTGATAGGTGGCCCTGCGGGCGGGGCAGGGGGTGGAACAGGGGTGGGCAAGGGCAGGGCAAGTGGGGGTGGCGGAGTGGGGGCGGGGCAGGAGGCAGGGCAGTTTTTGGGCACTCGGTGTCTAAAAGGTTTGCCATCACTGGTCTAAGCCTAATCAGTCTCAGATTTGGGCTCGTCCTTCTTCCCGGCTTTTTTCCCTTCCAGCTAATTTCCTACATTTCGTTGTGTTGCAGGCCGGAACGAGTGCCAAGAAATCCCCAACGTCTGCAGCCACGGGGATTGCGTGGACACGGAAGGGAGTTACCTGTGCATCTGCTTCAACGGGTTCAAAGCCACGGGGGACCTGACCATGTGCATGGGTGAGTATCGCAGGCGTTCGACATCCTTGCGGCACGCCAACCCTACGGCAACACTCCCTTCCTTCCTAAAACCTCCGGTTATAGACCTGGTTTGCTAGTTCACCAGTTGTTCACGGACCAGGAAGTCTGGTTCCACCACTCTGTTGTGGTGCATCCTGTGTGTGACCTCGGGCCCATCAACCTGGAGGAGTTGTCACTGGCAAGTTTACCTTTAGGGAATTTCAACAGCGCATTCATTGCCTTGAGAGAAAGTGGGGCCTAATCACTGCAACGCCACAAAATCAAGAATTATCATGCACACTTCCCTTGGGGAGCCTGTATTGCGACAGGAAAGCATAGAACCCTAAGGCTGGAAAGGACCTCAGAGGTCTTCTAGTCCAACCCCCTGCTCAAGACAGAAGACCTTATTCCATTCTAGACAAATGGCTGTCCAGTCTATTTTTGAAAACCTTCAGCGAGGTTTTCAAACCTAACATTATATGGTGGCTTTTTAAAATGGGTCGAAGTTGGCCTACTTTACAGGGTTGTTGTTGTAAAGGTGGGCGCAAAGCTGTCTCCATGAAGTGTTACACTGGTAATAATAACAACAATAATAATAATAATGGCGCATTGGTTAATACAGGAGTGGGGAACAATGGCCCTTTTATGACTTGTGGACTTCAACTCCCAGAATTCCTGAGCCAGCATGGGGAGTTGAATTCTGGGAGTTGAAGTCCACAAGTCATTAAAGGGAGCCATTGTTCCCCACGTCTGAGCTAATGAGATGTAAACCTGTAAATTTAATAAATCAATAATAATAATATCTCCCTATTATCCCCATGTGGCCTTTTTCTCGTACGCCCGGCAGACATTGACGAGTGTGACCGCCAGCCCTGTGGGAACGGCACGTGCAAGAACACGGTGGGGTCCTACAACTGTCTCTGCTTCCCGGGCTTTGAGCTGACCCATAACAACGACTGCATGGGTAAGGGGGCTGCTGGGCCAGGAGGAGGGGCGGGCTGAGCTTCCGGTAACGTTGATGCTGACCCCTCCACGTCCCACCCTGCTCTCCCAACAGATATCAATGAGTGCTCCTCCCTCGCCGGGCAGGTCTGCCGCAACGGACAGTGCATCAACAACGTGGGCTCCTTCCGGTGCCTCTGCCAGGAGGGCTACGACCACACGCCGGATGGCAAGAATTGCATTGGTGGGTCCCTCCCGGAGTCCTTAGGGCAGGGGTAGGCAACCTTGGCTCTTTTATGACTCGTGGACTTCAGCTCCCAGAATTCCTGAGTCAGCATAGCTGACTCAGGAATTCTGGGAGCTGAAGTCCACGAGTCATAAAAGAGCCAAGGTTGCCTACCCCTGCCTTAGGGGGAGTTGACAGGGCCAGTGTGTCCTCCCCTCTCTTCTCTTGTTTTGTAGACACAGCCCTCCGCCCTGGATTCGTATTTCTTCTTCCTAGAACGGTAGAGTTGGAAGGGACCCCCCCAAAGGTCATCTAGTCCAACCCCCTGCAATCTGCAGGGCAAGCCAATTCAACCTTCCCTCCAGAGAGGTCCACCTATTCCACCTCCGTCTTCGTTGCCCTTCACAATCTGGTCTGGTTTTGCCGACATCTTTTTCACCCAGATCTAATCCCGTTTACAGGGCAGTCCTCGACTTACGACTGTGTGTTTAGCGTCGACAACACTGAAAAATGGGACTTACAACCAGTCGTACTTAGAAAGGCTGCAGGGTACCTGGGGTCACCCTGATGGCAAATGGCCAACCTCTGACAAGCAATGGAGTAGCCGGCAGGGAAGCTTGCAAACCCCAATCCGACGATGTCTCGCTTAACAACCACATCAATTAATGATGAATTTTCTGGTTCCGGATGTGGTCATAGTTCTATCTGTACTCTGCTCAGATGAGGCTAATCGAGTATAAATATTTCTTCCCGTCATTTGGGGAAAATTTCAGTCTAGTATTAAGGCACTGGACTAATCGCGTTGGCCTTTTTTGCCGCAGCTTCACAACTGCAGGCTTGATTGGTTGACACACACACACACACACACACACACACACACACACAGAGTTCCTAATTTTCCTGTCAACTGGACTGCTGGGGCAGGAAGAACTCCTGTGGTTGGGATCGCTCTAATACAGGTAGTCCTCGGCTTACAACATTCGTTTAGTGACCATTCAAAGTTACAACGGCACTGAAAAAAGGGACTTCGCGACCATTTTCACACTTACGACCGTTTTAGCATCCTTGTGGTCATGTAATCAAAATAAGAACGCTTGACAATCGGCTCATATTTATGACGGTCACAGCATCCCGGGGGTCACGTAATCCCCTTTTGCGACCTTACGATGACCGAAGTCATTGGGGAAGCCATTTTCACTTCACAACCGCTGCTATTAACTTAACAACTGCAGAGATTAACTTCACAATTGTGGGAAGAAAGGTCATAAAATGAGGCAAAGCTCACTGAGCCACTGTCCCTGTCAGGTCCCCAAATCCTTATTATCCTGCTTAATTGTGGTCCTAAGTTGAGGACTACCTGTGTAAAGCTTGATGGCATGGCCAGTGTCTCCTACAGCCACGCAGTATTGGAAACCTCCCTGATCTGTAGGGTGGGCACAACAGCTCCCGGTTGTGGGGAAGATGACATGGGGTTTTCTTCCGTGCAGACATCAACGAGTGCGTCAGCCTGCCAGGGACCTGCTCCCCGGGAACGTGCCACAATTTGGAAGGCTCCTTCCGCTGCATCTGCCCTCCCGGCTACGAAGTGCAGAACGACAACTGTATCGGTAAAAAGCACAATGCATAGCAGACAAACACACACAGACAGACTTTCCATGGCTGGGTCCTGGGGCAGGGGGTGATGTGTACAGCCCCTTGTGGCTTTGATTCCCCCAGCGGTGCTTCAGGGAATAGGGTCCTCCCTGGGGAAGGGGTCAGAAAAGTCAAGATGGCGGTCAACCCCACGCTACTTAAGCCCTGTTCCTTTTTTTTTTTTAATGTTCATTGATACTTGGGGGAGGAGAACAGTAAAACTGCCTATAGTCTGAATTCGGGGTGCTGGAAGCAGGGGGCCAGCCTGTGCTAGAGCTGCAGCTGATCCATCTCGGTGGGTTGCAGACATCAACGAGTGCGAGGAAGACCCCAACATCTGTCTCTTTGGCACCTGCACCAACACACCTGGCACCTTTCAGTGTATCTGCCCGCCTGGCTTTGTCCTGTCTGACAACGGACGGCGCTGCTTTGGTGAGTTATAATCTCTGGGAGTGGGGGAGGCGCCCCCTGTCCCCATTTTCTGGGTGTGGGACCACATCTCCCATCATCCCAGACTAAACCCTTTGTGGAAGCTCAGACAGTCTGCCGTCCTGCCCATTGGAAAATTACTCAGTGGTGTCGGTTTATTCACGGAAAGTACGGCAGTGGTCCCCAACCTTCCCGGCTGCGTGGACACATGTGCACAACCTAATCCCACGCATGTACAAGTGGAGCTTTGCGTGCTCACCTGCCACTTGCATGGCCTGGTTCCTAATGGGCCTCGGACTGGGACCGGTGCATGGACTGGGCTTTGGGAACCTCTGGCGTATGGCGCCGAGCACATGGATACCGGGAACAAAATTATATAGAAGGAGCAGATAACACTATGGTACGTGCACGATGGGGAAATGTAGACATTTTTGTGCTGTTTGAGGAATTGAAGAAATTATATGCAAGTTATAGGTGACATGTCAAAGTACATTCATTCATAAGAATAGAATAAGCATTCTATATATATAAATATCGAAGCAATTTATCCAGTTAAGCACACGGTATTTGTTAGTTGGAGAAAATCTGCTTTTCCTCCTGTATAAGATCACTGTGTGATCCAGTGTACGACAAGGAGCACCACGGGGGAAGATAACAGAATGACAGAGTTGAAAGGAACCTTGGAGATCTTCTAGTCCAACCCCCTGCTCTAGCAGGAGACCCTATGCCATTTTGGACAAAGAGCTGAATGCTTCCACCATTGAAACAGGGAGTCTTGGCAGATGCCAGGCCAAGGGTCTTCCGGGTACTGGTGTTGGGGGTAGACTTCTCCTAACAGTGGAGTCTCTACTGGTGACGGCATTGCTATTGGAGGGCCAGGGATCCAGGAGCCAGGGACCCTCCTTCTCCCAGGCAGATGCTTGCAGGTCTTCCCCGTTTCCTGACCTCATGTACCCCCCCCAACCTTTGCAGACACCCGCCAGAGTTTTTGCTTCACCCGCTTCGACAACGGCAAGTGCTCGGTGCCCAAAGCCTTCAACACCACCAAGGCCCGATGCTGTTGCAGCAAGATGCCAGGCGAGGGCTGGGGAGACCCTTGTGAGCTTTGCCCCCAGGAAGGCAACGGTAGGAGACCGACAGTGGGGAGGGCAGGGGGAGGCCCGGGAGACCACCATCATACCCCTCCCATCTTTTTGATGGCTTCTCCCTGATGATCAGAGCTCCTAGGGCAGGGGTAGGCAACCTTGGCTCTTTTATGACTCGTGGACTTCAACTCCCAGAAGTCCAGGAGTCATAAAAGAGCCAAGGTTGCTTACCCCTGTCCTAGGGAGACCCCTGTCTCTCTTCCCCCCCCATAAGCAAGGAAGGGATGTCTCCTTGCACCCAAGGAAATTTGGGGGAGGGGTCTTCCTCCGCAAATGGGAGCTGTCTCAACCACTGCTTCGATTTCTTCAACTTTGGACGTGTGGGTCTGGCGGAGCATGTGTGTGTGTGTGTGTGTGTTAGAGATTTTTAAAAAAGCTTAAATGGGTGTATTGTTCTTTTTTCTTTTTTCTTTATTTTTTATAATAATAATAATAATAATGATAAAGTTGGAAGGGACCTTGGAGGTCATCTAGTCCAACCCCCTGCTCAGGCAGGAAACCCTATACCATTTCAGACAAATGGCTGTCCAGCCTCTTCTTAAAAACTTCCAGTGTTGGAGCATTCACCCCTTCTGGAGGCAGGTTGTTCCACTGGTTAATTGTTCTAACTGTCAGGAAGTTTCTCCTTAGTTCTAGGTTGCTTCTCTCCTTGATCAGTTTCCATCCGTTGCTTCTTGTCCTACCTTCAGGCGCCTTGGAGAATAGCTTGACTCCCTCTTCTTTGGGGCAGCCCTTGAGATACTGGAAGGCTGCTATCGTGTCCCCCCTCGTCCTTCTCTTCATTAAACTAGACATACCCAATTCCAGCAACCGTTCTTCGTATATTTTAGCCTCCAGTCCCCTAATCATCTTTTGTTCTTTTTATATTGGTTTCCATGGCTTCTAAGCTGCCCAGCATCCTGTCCATGAGATGGACGTTACAAGGAGTCCCCGACTTACGACAATGGACCCCCAAAATTTCCGCTGCTAAGCGGGACGGTGGTTAAGTGTTTTTTGCCCCATTTCACGACTTTTCTTGCTCCGGTTGATAAGGGAATCATGGCGACTGTTAAGATAGCCACACGGTTGTGAGATGAATCCGGCTTCTGCATTGGCTTTGCTGATAAAAAGGTCGCCAAAGGGGATCACGTCACCCTGGGACGCCGCGACCGTCATAAATACGAGCCAGTTGCCAAGTGTCTGGATTTTGATCGCCTGACCCTGGGCATGCTGCAACGGTCGTAAGGGTGAAAACGACCGTAAGTCAGTTTTTTCAATGCCGTGGTAACTTTGAACAGTCACCAAGCAAATAGCGCCTACATTGTTGTTGTTGTTTTTGTTCCAGAGTCCTATCTGGATGTTTTATAAGTCGCTTTGAAAAATAAATACAGCTAATCCTTGATTTGCATACCGTTCATTTACCAAGAGTTCAAATTTACAACCGCACTGAAAAACGTGACTTGCAAACGCTTTTCACACTCAACCAGGGGTAGGCAACCTTGGCTCTTTTATGACTTGTGGACTTCAACTCCCAGAATTCCTGAGCCAGCCTTGCTGGCTCAGGAATTCTGGGAGTTGAAGTCCACGAGTCATAAAAGAGCCAAGGTTGCCTGCCCCAGGGTGAGGTGATTGAAATACTATCAAAACTGGCATGTATGTATAGCGGTTGCAACATCCTGGGGTCATGGGTGACCGTCATTTCTGACCTCCCTCCCAGCCAGCTTCTGACAAGCAAAGTCAGTGGGGGAAGCTGTATTCGCTCAACGACCGTGCGATTCAGTACAACCGTAGCAAAAATAAAATAAAATTGCAAAATTGGGCCCAACCCACTTAGCATGCGCCTCCCTTAGCCACAAATTCTGATCCGATTATGGTCGTACATTGAGGACCATCATCGCCACCACCACCCCTACAATAAATGCTTGTTAGAAGAATGACAACAGGGCCTGTCTCTCCCGTCCGCAGTTGCCTTCCAAGAGCTGTGTCCGTACGGCCACGGCGCCATTCCGGGACTCGGAGACTCGCGAGAAGGTGAGTACCCAAAGCCAAGAGTGAGTATTGCCTTGATCTCTGCAGCCCCAGGGAGCTTTTGCCAGGGTTAAGCAGCCTGGCCTTCATCCAGACATTAAGGTAGACTGCTCTGAACAATGGATGCTTTACCTCCATTTGGGGTAAGGGGGAGAGAAAGAACCGGACCAGGAGGCAGCCAATCCTCGACAGCTTGACGCAACCGACTCAACAGCTAACTCTTCACAGGATAACTAATTATTAATTAATTAAAATTATTTTTTTTAAAAAAAAAGTAGTTTAAAATTAAATTATTATTTTTTGTCCCTTCCTTCTTTGGCATCCTTCCTTTAATGATGCTATTCCACTATTTCTTCGATATTAGCGCGCTTGTCCTGCGACGAGTTTGCCGCAATGATTTGTCACGGACCCTTCCTGGCCACAGAGAGGCCCAATGATCAAAAAGCATCTCGTAATGCTAGACCCTTAGCTCCATAGCAAGCAACGGGTTCGCTTAACGACTGTGGTGCTCATTTAATGACTGTGGCAGTGATAGCGAACCTTTTAGAGACCAAGTGCCCAAACTGCAACCCAAAGCCCACTTATGCATCGTCGGGTGCCGGGGGGGTGTGGCCCATTGGGTGGGCGTGGCTGCGGTGGTAACAGCAGACTGTGTGGGACTAAAAAGTTCAATCAATCAATTCCAACTTTGCAAAATCTTTTTTTTCCCGCGAGAAGTTGAAATTGACTGATTGAACCTTTTTTTTTTTTTTGCACACGGCGGCGGAGGCCTAAAGCGAAAAGGTTTTATAAAACCAGCTGAAGGCCTAGGACTGGGGCGATGGCGTGCATGCCCACAGAGAGGGCTCTGCCGCCTCTGGCACCCGTGCCCTAGGTTCGCCACTACTGGACTATGGTGTTCGTTTAACAACCAACACATTTGCTTAATGACCACCGCAAAAGGGAATGTGAATGTACAACCGTCACGACATACCACCATAATGGGCAGCCTCCATAATGGGCAGTCTCTATTACCGTTGTATACACACATAAACACACAGATGCACACACACACACACACACACACAAACATAAACACACACGCTCGCACAAACACAAACCAAAGCAGAAAGAACCTGGGAACACTTTTTTTCCGAATCGTAGATTTTGTCAAACGGTAGAAAATCGTTTCGCGAGTCGCAAAAAGCGATCTCAGCTCCCCCTCTTAACACACAAAACCTTTTTCTTGATAAAATACCCAATCAAGAAAAGAGTTTGGAGGCCGCCGTCTGAGAGGGCAGAAATTGCTAATCCTGGTGATGGATTAGAAAAATAAACTGAAAAGACCGCTGCGGTCAGCATCGGTTCTGCAAGATCAGCTCGCGTTAAACTCGGCAGTCTTCTGCTCACACCGCAAAGCTCTCCACACACACACGGGTTTTATTGCTCAGCCAATTTGTCCCTGACACCAAAACACGGCCTACAATTAAATTCAATGCATAAGAAGGGGAAAAAAAACCCCAAGTGAAGGGGGAAAAAAATAGCATTGACTTCCATCTCCTTTTGGTGCAGTAGAACAGCGGTCTCCGACCTATCTGGCTTTGCAGACCGGCGAGGCGGGTGGGGGAGAGAGGATGGTGGCAGGTGAGCACCCTCCATTTGCACAAATGGAGCTGTGCACGCCTGCTCGCCCACCTGCTGTACGTGCAAGTGCAACTGCACGTGTGCGCACACTCGCCTGCCGTGTCTGCGGTCCAGTTCTGAACAGGTTGTAGCCCGGCAATGGGCCACAGCCCGGGGATTGGGGATCTTTGCAGTAGAATAGGGTAATAACATACAACCTCGACTTTTTACTTTTATGCAATCATGTATATATGAGACACATCTATAACAACAAATCTATCTCAGCCACAAAACCCCAAAACCAAAGTTTCTTTCCTTTCAATTTCAAGCACTTTATCATAGTGCACCAAAAGAAGTTGGAAATTGATGCTATTTCTTTTCCTTTTTTTTTTTACCCTACACCAGGGGTAGGCAACCTCGGCTCTTTTATGACTCATGGACCTCAACTCCCAGAATTCCTGAGTCAGCTATGCTGACTCAGGAATTCTGGGAGTTGAGGTCCATGAGTCATAAAAGAGCCGAGGTTGCCTACCTCTGCCCTACACTTTTTCCTCTTCCCACTTTCCTCCCCAGTTTTCCCAATATTTTCATTTTTCTGAGTATTTTCCTATTTTGATAAACTAATAAAAATACGAATTAAAAAAAAAACCCCAAATGCACAATTTTAGGGTACCGGTAACAATTAGGATTCTCAAACAGAGACATTATTTTTTTTTAAAAAAAATGTTTCTGAGTACCCTGCCACATTTGGGATGTGGGGGGAGGCTTGTGGTTTTCGAGAAGCAAGGGCTAGCACAAAGATTAACGCGGCCCGTGGTGCTGCTCATTCCACAACGGTCTCCTCGGCAGACGTGAACGAGTGCGCGGAGAACCTGGGTATCTGTATTAACGGCGCCTGCATCAACACGGACGGGTCCTTCCGCTGCGAATGCCCCTTCGGCTACAACCTGGACTACACCGGGGTCAACTGTGTGGGTGAGTGGAGGCCGCTGCGCCCGCCACCTTTGCGAGGGGGCTGTTCACAAGCCTTACTTGAAGCTTTTCCATCAAGTAGACACATTCACTCCCTTCCTTTTCTCGTATCGTCGGCAGACACGGACGAGTGTTCCATCGGCAACCCGTGTGGGAACGGCACTTGCACCAATGTGATCGGGGGCTTTGAGTGCACCTGCGACGAAGGATTTGAGCCGGGGCCAATGATGACCTGTGAAGGTGAGGTCCATTTTATTTCCCTTTTGATTGGTTTGATTCCTATAGATCAGTGATGGCGAACTTTTTAGAGACCGAGTGCCCAAAAAATGCCCCCCACCACTCCCGTCCCCGCTCCGCCCTGCCCACTGGGCAACCCACTACCTCCACAGCCCGCCACAGATCACCCAGGCAGCCCAGCAGCGCCATGGTGGCCATGCCCTCTGCTCATGCCCCGCAGAATCATCTGCGCGCAATGGGGCGCAAGGACGGACTCTTGTCCCCACTACCTAGCTACCATGTCCTTGGCTCCGCTACTTCGTGTGGGCCGCGCCCAAGGGCAACTCTACTCCGGGGAGGCTGCTGGTGAGGAGGGGGCCATGGGAGGAGGCGGGGCTTGGGAGACGGTGTGTGTGCCCACAGAGAGGGCTCCGAGTGCCACCTCTGGCACCTGTGCCATAGGTTCGCCACCACTGGTGTAGTAGAAAGTGGGCTATTTATGTGGAGCCTGGTTGTGTGTGACTTTTTAGTTGTTGTTTGGGGTGTTGGTGGCCGGCTATTAAGCCATTGGCTGTTGTTTCCTTGTGCTCCCGAGCCCTCGCCTCCTTGAAAAGCTGGGGGTAAATCAGCCCTCCTTTCGGCTGACGAGGGCCCTGTTTCCCAGGCTTCAATCATTTCCTGGCTGTTTTTGTCCCTGCGCAGCCAACAATCTTAGTAGCTGCAAAACTGAATGCATCTCCTTCTTCGTTGCGATGCTCCTGGACTGCTGATCGCTTAAAGCTCTTAACAGTCTCCCCTTCCCCATCTGTCCAATCTCCTCACTCCAGATATGAACGAGTGCGCCTTGAACCCGCTGCTCTGCGCCTTCCGGTGCCTCAACACGCTTGGTTCCTACGACTGCACCTGCCCAGCCGGGTACACCTTGCGGGACGACCGCAGAATGTGCAAAGGTGAGGACCTAACCGCTGCGGGGAAGCTGAGCCTCAGTGGTGCCGGTCAAGGAAATGGGCTCTGCTTTCGAAGGGGGAGCATACGACTGAGAAGCTCTAGTTAGGTCCTCCTAATGTGATTAGGATTGTGTTGCAAAGTGTGTGCTAAGACAAGCGAGGAAGCTTCCGTCTATTCCTTCCACTAACACTCACCTGGGCCCTTCCAGTAGCTCTTCCGATGCTCGTCTTCCAATAAAAGGTTTTGGCGTTTCTTGCACACCAACCAAATAAGGTCCCCAAAGATGCTTTTTTTTACGAGGCAACTGGACTTTCTTTGTTTTTCCTTTGAAGATGTTTCCCTTCTCATCCCAGAAGCTTCTTCAGCTCTGACTGGATAGTGGAGAAATGGAAGGATTTACACTCCTTGCGGATAGCTGGTCATTTGCCTTCTTTGAGAGGGTCGTTGAGGCCACTTGGAGGTTTATCTCTGTGTCCTCAGGGTCATCTGAGTGGTGCAAATAGGTGTGGAGCCTTCTGGGAACTGCTGAAAGGACTCTGTTGTAGACAGGAGATAGATGATGTCATCAGGAGTTCTCAGCAGTCTGCAAGGAGTATAAATCCTTCCGTTCCCCACCATCCAGTCAAAGCTGAAGAAGCTTCTTGGATGAGAAGTGAAACTTCTTCAAAGAAAAACAAGAAAGTCAGTTGCCACGTGGAAAAGTATCTTTGGGACCATCCTGACCTGGATGATGGAGAATCTCCATAGACCAGGAGTAGGCAACCTTGTCTCTTTTATGACTTGTGGACTTCAACTCCCAGAATTCCTGAGCCAGCTATGCTGGCTCAGGAATTCTGGGAGTTGAAGCCCACGAGTCATAAAAGAGACAAGGTTGCCTACCCTTGTCCTAGATAATAAAACAAGGATTTTAGATTCCCGACCCCGCCAGGAGCTTCATAGGCTTCCCACCCCTTCGCTCCAGCCGTCCGACAAGAGTAACATAAGATTCTAGTCCCCATTGCTCCAAATAAAAAGAAGAGGCACAAAAAGCCTGCAGCGATCTGGGGCTTCTCCCGCTCCACGCTCATCTTCCTCTTTCTCCATTTCTGCAGATTTGGACGAGTGTGCCAAAGGCTTGCACGACTGCGAATCTCACGGGATGATGTGTAAGAATCTGATTGGCACCTTTGCTTGTATCTGCCCACCTGGGATGCAACGCCGGCCGGACGGTGAAGGCTGCACAGGTGAGACGCGTTTATAGACTCAGGTTCCTAGTCCATATGGCTTGGTCAAAAATGGGCACGCGAGGGGGGTCTGTTTCTGGGCATCACAGTCTCTTCGCTAGCCTGGATGGTCGTTTGTCTGAAAAACTGCACTGAGCAGGAGGTTGGACTAGGTGATCTCTAAGGTCCCTCTCGACTCTTAACGAGTCTTGATTAAATCTGGAGTTGATCCATTTGGGGTCTCAGCAGTTTCTGTAGAAAACCGATGCTGACATTTTAGTAAGGGACTCCGAGGTCCCTTCCAACTCTATTGTTCTGTTAGGGGGTTGGGCTAGATGACCTCCGAGGTCCCTTCCAACTCTGTTGTTCTGTTAGGGGGTTGGGCTAGATGACCTCTGAGGTCCCTTCCAACGCTGTTGTTCTGTTAGGGGGTTGGGCTAGATGACCTCCGAGGTCCCTTCCAACTCTGTTATTCTGTTAGGGGGCTGGGCTAGACGACCTCTGAGGTCCCTTCCGACTCTGTTGTTCTGTTAGGGGGTTGGGCTAGATGACCTCCAAGGTTCCTTCCGACTCTGTTATTCTGTTAGGGGGTTGGGCTAGACGACCTCCGAGGTCCCTTCTGACTCTGTTATTCTGTTAGGGGGCTGGGCTAGATCACCTCTGAGGTCCCTTTCATCTCTGTTATTCTGTTAGGGGGCTGGGCTAGATGACCTCTGAGGTCCCTTCCATCTCTGTTATTCTGCTAGGGGGTTGGGCTAGATGACCTCCGAGGTCCCTTCCGACTCTGTTATTCTGATAGGGGGTTGGGCTAGACGACTTCCGAGGTCCCTTCCGACTTTGTTGTTCTGTGTTTGAGTCCTGACCAGTTCCTTTCCTCTTCCTTGCTGTCTCCAGACGAGAACGAATGCCGGACCAAGCCGGGGATCTGCCCCAACGGGCGGTGCGTGAACACCGTGGGCAGCTACCACTGCGACTGCAACGAAGGCTTCCAGAGCAGCCCAGCGGGCACCGAGTGCCTCGGTAATCCACGCCACCCCTGCGCGGATGTCCCGGGAACGTTCAGGCGGGAGGGATCAAGTGCCACAGGAGATCCTGGCGGGCTTTCCACTTTCTGGGTGGATGTAATGCCTTAGGAGCAATTTAGCTTCCTCCTGTTCGTAATTTCCAGAAATCCCCTCTATAGGCGGTCCTCAACTTACGACCACAGTACAACATTATAGAGCCCTGGTGGCGCCATGGCATTGCAGGCTAATTCTGCCCACTGCCAGGAGTTCGATCCTGACCAGCTCGACTAGGCCTTCCGTCCTTCCGAGGTCATTAAAAGGAGGACTCAGATTGTTGGGGGCAAATAGGCTGACTCTGTAAACCGCTTAGAAAGGGCTGTAAAAGCTCTGTGAAGTGGTCTATAAGTCTAAGTGCTCTGCCCACAGCCAGGAAGTTCGATTCTGACCAGCTCAAAGTCAACTCAGCCTTCTGTCCTTCCAAGGACCCAGATTGTTGGGGGTGGACAATAAGCTGACTCTGTAAACCGCTTAGGGCTGTAAAAGCCCTGTGAAGCGGTATATAAGTCTAAGGGCTGTTGCTATTCTCTCCCTCCTTCCCTCCCTCTCTTCTTCCTTCGCGCCCTTTTCTTTCTACCTTTCTTTTCTTTCCTTCCCTCTACTCTCTCCTTCCTTCCCTTCCCTTTTCTCCATTTTTTTCTTTCTCTCCTGCTCCCTCCATCTCTTATTTCCCTTCTCTTTTTCTCTCCCTCTTCTTTCCTCTCCTTCCTCCCTCCCTCCTTTTTTTCTTTCTCCTTTTCTTTCGTTCTCTTCCTTCCTTCCTTTCTCTTGTAAAGAGCCCTGGTGGCGCAGTGGTTAGAAGGCAGCATTGCAGGCTGACTCTGCCCACTGCCAGGAGTTCGATCCTGACCGGCTCCAGGTTGACTCAGCCTTCCGTCCTTCCGAGGTCGGTAAAATGAGGACCCAGATTGTAAACCATTTGGAGAGGGCCAAAAAGCCCTGGGAAGCGGTGTATAAGTCTAAGTGCTATTGCTATTCTCTCCCTCTGCCTCCTTCCCTCTCTCTCTCTCTCTCCTTTTCTTTCTACCGTTCTTTTCTTTCCTTCCCTCTACTCTCTCCTTCCTCCCCTTCCTTTTTCTCCATTTTTTTCCCCTTTCTCTCCTGCTCCCTCCATCTCTTATTTCCCTTCTCTTCTCAGCCTTGAGCCTGGTGTCCCACTTTATGACCGTCCTGACTTTCAAACGAAATTGGCTCAGTTTGGGTCGTTAAGTCAAGGACTTCATTCATTCCTTCGTTCTTGGTTGGTTTCCATTTGACGTTCTTCTCTTGGCTTTTCCGGTTTTTCCCTGACAAGACGAAGTAAAATCGATCCACCCATTAAAGAGATTATAAAGAGATTATAAAACGCTTCATCCCGCTAACGCATCGCCTGGCCACTGGCCAGCCCCCCGGGCCAAGTCCGGCCCTGGGCACGATTTCATCCGTGGCCGGAGAAAAGGGTATTGGCTCAAATCAATTCTGGGACTTGAAGTCCACAAGTCATAAAGTCGCCAAGGTTGGAGAGCCCCCGTGCCCTGAGCAGGGGGCTGGACTAGCTGACCTCTAAGGCCCCTTCCCACCCTGACTGCTGGATAAACATAACCAGCATCTCTCTGAAAAATACGAGTTCAAAGGCGGTGCAAGCCTTCCCCTCGGCTCTAGCCCAAGGGAAAAGGGGGGGGGTCCTTCCCCAGCACCCCCCTCCTCGCCCTGCCCAGAGACTCACTGCGGGGGACCCCTCCCCCATCTCTCCCCCTCCCCCACAGACACCCGCCAAGGCTTCTGCTTCATCGAAGTGCTCCAGACGCTCTGCCAGATGTCGGCCACCAACCGGCAGCAGGTCACCAAGTCCGAGTGCTGCTGCAACGGAGGGCGAGGCTGGGGGCCCCAGTGCGAATCCTGCCCCTTCCTGGGCACGGCCCACTACAAGAAGATGTGTCCCCACGGGCCGGGCTACACGACGGACGGGAGAGGTGAGTGGTTAAGCCTGTCACGCCCGCGTCTTCCTCCTGGCAGCCGCCCCCATCGCCCCGTTATGTGGCTGGGGCTAAGGTTCAGGGGACCAACGGAAAAGAGAGAGAGAGAGAAGGAAAGAGGGAAAGAGGGGAGGAAGGAGAGAAAGAAAGGGAGAGAGAGAGAGAAAGAAAGAAAAGAAAGAAAGAAAGAAAGAAAGAAAGAAAGAAAGAAAGAAAGAAAGAAAGAAAGGAGGGAGGGAGGGAGGGAGGGAGGGAGGGAGNGGAAGGAAGGGAGGGAGGGAAAGAGCGTCAGAAGGGGAGAAAAACAGGAAGAAAGGGAGGGACGGAAAGAGCGTCAGAAGGGGGAGAAAGAAAGAAAGAAAAAGAGAAAGAAAGAAAGAAAGAAAGAGAAGGAAGGGAGGGAGGGAGGGAGGGAAAAGAAAGGGAGGAAAACAGGAAGGAAGGGAGGGAGGGAGGAGGAGGGAAAGAGGGACAGAAGCAGAGAAAGAAAGAAAGAAAAAGAAAGAGAGAGAGAGAAAGAAAGAAAGAAAGAAAGAAAAGAAGGAAGGAAGGAAGGAGGGAGGGAGGGAGGGAGGGGAAAGAAAGGGAGAGAAACAGGAAGGAAGGGAGGGAAAGAGAATCAGAAGGAGAGAAAGAAAAAAAGAAAGGAAGGAAGGAAGGGTAGGAAGGAGAGAAAGAAAGGGAGAGAAAAAAAGAAGAAAGAAAGAAAGAAAGAAAGAAAAGGGAGGGAGGGAGGGAAAAGAAAGGGAGGAAAACAGGAAGGAAGGGTGGGAGGGAGGAGGAGGAGGAGGGAAAGAGGGCCAGAAGCAGCGAAAGAAAGAGAGAAAGAGAAAAAGAAAGAAAGAGAAAGAAAGAAAGAAAGAAAGAAAGAAAGAAAGAAAGAAAGAAAGGGAAAGAAGGTAGGAAGGAGAGAAAGAAAGGGAGAGAGAAAAAGAAAGGAAGGGGGGAGGAAGGGAGGGGAAAGAAAGGGAGAGAAACAGGAAGGAAGGAAGGGAAAGGGTTGGAAGGAGAGAGAATGAAAGAAAGAAAGAAAGAAAGAAAGAAAGAAAGAAAGAAAGAAAGAACAGAGAGAGAGAGAGAGTTCCTTCTTTTCGGCGTCCCTGGGGGTCCCAGAGGCCTTTTTATTAACTTAATGAAACCAAAGCTGCCTGTGGACAGACTCTCTTAAAATGACACCTTTATTTGTTTGTTTGTTTATTTTGTTTATTTTGTTTATTTATTTGTGGACAGACTCTCTTACAATGACAGGTTTATTTGGCTCCAAGCCCAAGTGGGCCCTCCCTTGAAAAGGGGGAGGGAGCACAGGCCATATTTCAGCAGGCTCGTGCACTTCCTTCAGTTCCACGTGTTTTGTGGAAAAAAAGAATTTCATAAAATATCCTCCTCGTTTCCTCCCCTTAACGAGCAGAAGCGTCATCTCGGCAAAAATTCATTTAAACGAATGCGTTTTCCAAAAAGGCCGGAACAATTTCTTCTCGGAAGACTTGTGGCTTGTTTGAATATCCTCAGGCGTCTGTCTCCAAATTCACACCGTTTAACATTTTTTTTTTTATGAAAGTGTAATGTCATTTTACATTATATAAAAATACTTACCTTAACCTGGAGGTGAAACGATGTAAATATAAAAATGACTTCCGTAAAGCCGCGCAACTAACCCCAATGAAGCTGCTGGATGTTAGGAGGAGTTTCGTGCGATTAATCTATCACCTGTTGGTGACCACTCCCTTTGAATGCAGCAGTTCCTGGATTCCTCCGGGGCTGGGGGGGCGGGGAGCTGGCCCTCCCACTTTCCCAAGGCTTTCATAAAAGAGGGGGAGCTGCCACCCGGGGGGGGGGAGGCTGTTGGTCTTGCTGTGCTTAATGGAGGATTTCCCCCCCCCTTTTGTCAATTCCCCCCCCCCCCAAAAAAAATCTGGGCAGACATCGACGAATGCAAAGTCCTTCCCAAGCTTTGCCAGCACGGCCAGTGCATCAACACGGTGGGCTCCTTCCGGTGCCACTGCGACCTCGGCTACACCCTGGACATCACCGGGACCCTCTGCCAGGGTAAGGGCCCCCTCCCTCCCTCCCTTTCTTTCTTCCTTCCTTTCTTTCTTTCTTTCTTTCTCTCCCTCCCTTTCTTTCATTCTTCCTCCCTCCCTTCCTTCTTTCTTTC